TAACGGAATGTCCTTGTCAGGGCACCCTATGTATATCGGTATCTACACACACTGGACAATAGAAGTGTCACCCCCTAAATCAGAGTAATAAAAGTAGGCAGATCTTGGGTAGTTATAATGCCTGGTCTACTTATAATGTGATTAATGAGTATAAAACCGCTATACCATGGAATTGTTTTGTTGGTCTTGTACATGTACAGCAAATTTTATTCCTGTCTTCCTCCAATATGACAAGATACAGGCAATTATCTAACGGTTATAGGCGTCAAGTTATTAACCTGAAGAGGCGGAATATAAGCAATGTCAGAATATCAATACAATTGAATTGTTCAGCCAGAACGTTCTTCTGAGAGGCTTCGCAACCTTCCTGTAGGCAACCGTGATGGCAATGTTCTTTGGTCGATTCCCAATTTTCTTGACACCAGTGATCAAAAGTTAGGGGATGATATAAATTCCAAATTTGTCTACCGTAGCAACTACAAAGCCCAGTTTCGTCTCTTCTTTTACAACAAAGGGACAGATAGAATTGCACTATGGATGGTCATTAAGAAAGGAGAGTATGATGCAATACTGGAGTGGCCTGCCAAACCCAAGATTGGGGTTGAAATCATCACCGCGCTAGACCCCAGAAACACCGTATTCCAACGAAAAGTTGAGTTTGATACAGCTGAGCACTTGCAACTTTTCCCTCCCGAGGCTTTGGTCCAACCTGAACAGAATGAGAACCGAATGATTGGCCCCCTATTCGACATGGCTGTCAGGGATATTGAGGACAACGGCTGGCTGGTTGAAGGGGCAATGTATATTGACTGTAATATGCAGTTCGTCACAAAGAACCAGATTTGACATTTATGCACAATTTTTATAAAACCCTAGGCTAGACGAAATATTCGAATGTGTTTAATGTATAATTGTGGCATTAAACAACAGTTTGTTATTTACGGAAGGGTTTTTTGAAAAACTTGGGCTTGATTTGATGGTTCCTTCGAAGTTTTTTTAATGAATAAATATCAATGTGGTGCCTAATGCAGCTTATTATATACGTTGCTGAATAGAAGTCCACATCTTCATGTATATATGTAATCGTTTTTCTCAAGTATTTACTGTCATACATGCATAGGGATTTTGATGAGAACTATGCTCTTAGTAAGCCAACTTTATTTACAATATTTATATTTGTTGCCATAATGATATTTGCTATGAGACAAATTTTCCTTCAGAATAACACTTTCAATGAAATATACAACATCAATGGAGTAAGGGATTAGGAAAACAAGAATTGCAGTTTGAAAACTTATCATCTTGATACATAATTGCTAAGTAGGGACATTAATTTTGAATAACAAAATTATTTCTACTTGTACTAATTGGTGTAGGTGATACCTCATACACCTATAGTGGTGGCATGTAGCACTAACAAACTGCTGCCAGTCAAAATGATGGCACTGTTTCAATTTGCAAGTTCCGTCCACTTCTTTGTTACGTATCTTTACCAGCTTAATAAATATATATGATAAGAAGCTGCTGTTTTGATGGCATAGAACTTTATGTGCAACCTAATTTCAATTACTGTAAACCATGTTAACCATACTTTCTATCTAAAAAGGAACATAAAATAAAAATAATGTTTTGATATATTTAGAAGACTAATTTACAATATTTTACTTCATAAGTAAACACTACATGTTAAAGTAGGTCATACTGCATGTGTTGTACTGACATAACCTGAAAAAGGGGCAACATTCCGACCCGTAGCCAGGGAGGGGGGCTCGAAAGAATAATTTTCCCTTTTGCTGGGAAAAGCTCCACTCTGGATAAAATTTGCACTGAGAATAAAATCGGAGTCCAAGTGACTCCAAACTTGGAGTCCAGCAGTGGTCCCTAAAGTAACTCCCAATTGGAGTCAAGTTGACTCCGATGGAGAAATGCCATCCCAGACCCCACTGGAAGGTCACAATTGACTCCATTCACACATCACTTCATCCCTTGAGATGTCTCTACAAAAGAGTCACCATGACCCCATATTAAGGCTGCTTGGCACATAATGAAGAATAGCAAAATCAACAGTATTAAGGGGAAAGTCAGCAAGCATCGTTCATATCGCTTATTACAGACTGTTGTGTCCTCGGACCGGCTCGAACCCACAGCCTCCCGTCCAAGAGGCGGACACCCTAACCACTAGGCCATGCGGTCACATGTGGTCTACATGTCACAAATATACCAATGAATGAGCATACCTCTCCACTGACATGCACTGGTGGGTCAAACCTACAACTTGGAAACAAAACCTGCTGACCTGTATACCAACATATCACATAAAGGGTGTGGCAACTGAAAGCCTGGGCCAGTAATAATTAAGTGCACGAGTTCTGCATGCAGAAACACACAGAAAACCACTTGTTTATGCATAAAACCAACTATGGCCAATAAAGTAATGTTTATACTGACAAAAGATAATGAAAACTGTTCTCTCCACGCCGTCTGCTCACTGCCATCACAAGTAATAAAACGAAGCTTACTGTCCAGCGAGCGAAAAGAGTCGGTGAAAAGGGTCAGCCAGACACTGGCCCCCGATAATTTGACTCTGATTTTAGAGTCAGATTGACTCCATGAGAGCCAGGGGGTGATTGACTCTGATGAGAGAGTCTAAAACTCTGGTAGTGGGGTAATTTGACCCTTATATAGGAGTCAAATTAACTCCATAAGGGTCAAGGGGTGCTGGACTGTGACTAGAGAGTCAAATGACTCCAATTTTATTCTCAGTGTGATCTAGGTACATGAGGTTTATATGGAAAAAGGTCCTCTTCTTCAGAAAAAGAACTCCCCTAGTGAAATTGCTGGCTACGGGCCCGACATTCAGTTTTTGTGATTTGAACTGCAAGGCGACATAGTGAAAGATCAATAGAAAGAAAGCAACAATTAAGCTGCCACAATCAGCCTTGGCGAATAAAGATCTTTCTTAGTTGGAATATGCACAATTGTTCTTGCTTAATAATCATGAGGAAATACAGTATATGTAGCCATATGATAGTCCAAATATACACTGAAGTTATCTAGTCGCAAAATGGCATTTTCAATTGGAATTGGCTAACAATCATACCGTAACGATTACTTAAGAACTCTTTGAACAAAATATTTCTTAATTTATAAATAATTTTGACAAAATATGAAAAACCTATTTTTAACCTATGTTCACAGTTTGTTATTAATGGAAGAATGAATGCAGTGAGAATTTGCAAAAAGAATTAAATAAATGTTTTATCTAAGTGGGGGGGAGGGGGGGGGCACAATTTATGCATATTTTTGTATTGAATTTTTGAAAGCCTGCGTTAGAACAGGCTATATAAATTCGGACTTTCTTAGGATGGCTCTATATAAATTTGGACTTTGTTTTGGATGGTGCGTAATTTTCACAGATTTGGCATAAATATTGCTTAGTTAAAACTAATTTTAGGAGCGCAAGATCTCTCAGTGACGTGTTGCTTAATCCTAGATCGTAACCAGGCATAATAATTAAACTTATATTTACCCCAACATTAAAGAAATGCTCTAAAGAAGCTGCTTGACCCTCATAACAATTTTAAAATCTGAAGATATTGAAAAGTGATTGCCGCCGGGATAAGATCCGTGTAGAAAACCAAGTTCTTAAAATGTATAATATATGTATTTCCACATTCTGTAACACATGTAGCAGGCCTGGTATGAGGGGAGATTGTGTACAGTGTCACGATGGTATTGGCTTTATCTTACTGACGTGAGGTAAGAACTAAACAACTTTCATGTCCTTTCATATTCTTTTTTGTCATTTCCCAACTACCTTATCTACATTTCTTCTTCTACCTTCAATTTCTTACATAGCTTACTTATACATTCTCCGCTTAAAGCAGGACGAGGTCATGTCAATCAATTCAGTCAGCATGTACGTAACACCTTTCCCATTTATGACTCGGTTTACATTACATTCTCCGCTTTTAAAAGCAGGACGAGGTCATGTCAATCAATAACACCTTCCCCGCATTTGACTCTTGGCTGTCAATATTCATTACATTAGGCTTGTTGACCTTTTTAGGGTCAACGTTGAGCTTGCTGTGTCATGTGATCACTTGGCTTCCTTTCAACAGGGTATTTAGGAGCACTATCATGAATGGCATTGAATATCTTGAATAAAGGAAGTCGAGGTCTAGAGAAAGTCATTGCAGTAGCAAATCGGCATGAGGTAAGTAAGCTTAAGCAGGTTCTCTCATATTTTAGAAACCAATATAGTGTGTCATATGTCTTTTCTTATGTTTTAGGGGTTGTAGAATACATTTCTGATGTTAATACTGAGGTTGGTACATTTTACAGTGAGTTCAGTAACCATGTGAGCTAACGGTTAACTGTCAGGCTAGACTGAAGAGCAAGAATCTTCAGACTGAGGAAAGATATTCCTCGACATCCAAAAATTGGATATTTCCTTGGCAACTTCTTAGCATTACCCCAAGACAGCGTTTATGTATTTGATTATGTATTTTATAAGCTTAAAATATTTTAATGCGTTCATTTTCTTTTTTATGATAATAATATTTATTTGCAGTTGAATGGTACATATTTAATTAAAGTAAAATTCTAATTCTAAGTAAAATATATCAAGCATTAAAGCATTTTCTAAAATACATTTTTAACGACATTTAAGAGAAATTTTCATTTTCACGGAACGCTCTTCTTACTGCTGATAAGATCTAATATTATCGTTTTGATAACGTAAAACCACATTTGAATCAAACTTCATTTGGTGCATTGAACCCTTTCGTGCCAAGAGACGTGCTATGTACTTTTTTAAAATGGTTATATTGTGTTAGTGTACATGTGCAACGGAAAACGTAGCTATCAAAATTATTGAAAATGTTATCGGTTATATAAACTGCGATACCCATTCCAGTGACCCATTCAGTTCCGAGGACTATGTATGTTTTCTACTACTACTACTGCTATGCGCTACCCAAAGAGCCATCCGCGATCAGATGTACGACCGTCTGATACTTCATCAACAGGCAACTTCCATCAATTCACTTGTCCGTAGAAGCCAAAAACAAGATGAAGAAATTTTACGACGTAACAGACGGCTTTGGGACCTAGAACTGGGCAGCGACAAAGGCACCATAGTTTGGAAGATTGAAGACTTTGTACGAACATCGAGAAAACGAGTGTTCATGGAGTCTCCTCTGTTAAAGACAAGCCCCCAAGGCTATGCAGTTCGCCTGAATGTTCACTTTGAAGGTGACCAAGGCCAGCGCCTATCATTCTCTCTACGAGTCCAAAAAGGTGAGCACGACGGGGCACTGGAATGGCCGTTTCGACCCGATATCCGTATTGGTATCATCACAGCTTTCGACCAACCATTGAAATTCGAAAAGGAACTTGATTTTAAAGATGCTGATTTGAGCCAGATCGTGGGGCTACAGCAGCCGATTTTAGAGGAAAACCCCAAGATAGATTTGGTCACCATACAGACCAGCGACATTTTGGAACGTGGATGTTTGGTTGAAGGAACACTGTACGTAAAGTGTACTATTCAAAACTAAAAAAAAAAAATTATCTTCAACAAGTGGCCCGAATTCTAATTAATGGCATTCTGTCCTGGATTGTTTTAATTTACAGTGTTCCATCACTGTTAGCTTACCTGAAAAGAAGTTGATATAAAACCAATTTGCAATTTTTTTAACCTGCTTGCCCTTCAAGACACCGGGGCCTAAGAATATGCTGGCCTAAAGTGAAAAAGGTACATGTAGCCAGTAATTTCATTAAGAAATAGCATTCTTTTGATATATTATTGCTTGAAACACTGCCCATCGCAGCCCGATGTAAGATTTGAAGTTCGCGCTTTATTGAGTTTGATCCTTGACAATATTTATTATGTGCTGTAACATTACCCATACAGAACAAAAGTATATAGCATGTTAAATAGGTACCTGCTATACCTTCAACTCTATTTGAATATTCTATGATTTTTCTTTTGCATTGTTTGTTTCTTTAATTGATTACCTTGTGATGTCCCATAAATCATTGTTTGTTCTATTGCACTTGCAGTATTGATTACATTGTGATGTCCTATTTTAAAGATTGTTTGCCCAGTTGCACTTATAATTAAGTGCTTTTTAATTTTTACACAGTCAATTTTGATTTTGTTTGTATGACATACTAGTATGCATTTATAACACTTCCTTAATGCGAAGCTTTGTTTTATTTGAAATTCATTCGTGTCTTTGTTATTTTCATAAAAGGAACAGTCCAAGTTATTTATGAATTCATTGACTAAAAAAATGATGTTTTATTACCATAAGTTCTGCAAGTGGGGACTTTACTTTAAGCTATTAATTACAAGTGCATTGGATACTGAGAATTGCTTCAACCCAGCATTGGGGCTTCCCAGTCTACCGGGTCTTTTAGAAAAAGATCAATGTTTTTCAAACAAAAGACACTAAACACCCAAACCCAATATAGATGTGCATTTCACATGCTGAAGTGCCAAAAAAAAAAAAAAAATGAATGAATTCAAAATTGTATTCAATATTTCAAAACATATATGTGTATAGAACAAAAATCCACGACTGTCTCAACTGAAATTCAATTTTTAATTTTTACATTTTTACTTCTTCATGCGGGACCCTAAAATTATCAAACACAGTTAGCAATCTGTGCAGTTAATATTTTAATAACATGCTTGTGACATCAATTGCACCTCTATATTGGGTTTGGAATGTGAAATTGACATATTGATAGTACTGTGGTATTTACATTGGGAGGCTTGTTCTTTAAAGAGGACCGCAGCCTATTTAACAGTATTTGTGCCTTTTGTCTGTTCATTTTTATAGAAGTGTAAATAGATGACTAAACAAAATGTGAAAGTCCTTGCTACTCTTATCACACGTTGGTAAAGAAGATGCACGACCTGAACAGGTTACATGTACATGTATGCGATATTCATACTCCATGGCTTTTGAATCGCAGTCTTCTTTAATTTATGTAATATTAAGGGATATTCTGTTGACCACCCTGTGTAAAGTAAATAGTAACTGGCTCACTAGAATATTCAGGCTGTTTTCTTGATGTTTCCACTGTATCGTAAAGCAAACATACCTTTACTGTAAATGCAAAATACACCAATCATTGTAAGATACTGCGCATGCGTATGTGTATATTCACCACTCACATTATCTCCGGCATACAAAGCAAGGTCTTTTTTTATTGGCCCCACAGTTTATATTTTCTTGTAGATGAGTGGGTATTTATTTCTCTAAGTGCCAAAGTATTAGACTACTATTTACAGATATTGTCTCAGTATTTGTGTATTTGACTGTGGACCTGGATATTTCAGATATATATTTAAAAAACCATCAATCGTATTAGACCCCCCCCTTTTTGGGGGGAGAATTTATATTTAACTTTTTCCTTTTTTATATGTTGGGTAAGACAATTTTTTGATCAGAAAGGAATCTGGAATAACAACCCATGTTTTACACGGCTCATGATCAAATTATACCCACAAATGTTACTGGGCTGTTTTATACTTGCGAGTATAATTCAAACTAGGCTAGTTTGTACTGCAGGCATAAAAGGGCTTACTTCAGTTAGTAAAATATATCCCATAAACTAAAACATCCTCTAAAATAGTGAGGTAGTCACCCTTTAACTGCTCACTCACACTTGTTTTCACCTCAGAGAGGAATTTTCTAAGATGCATGTTGGGGGAGGGAGGGGGGAGGGTTGTAACTCTCTGAAATGAGGCTACTGGTATTCACATGGATATAGTCTCGTTCACCGATGAGGACACTGTAGGACATCGAGATATGGAAGTAGGCCTAAATTGTTCAATATTAAAATGTTTATTGAAGAAAAATTACATTATAGATTTTGTCACCATACAGACCAGCGACATTTTGGAAGGTGGATGTTTAGTTGAAGGAACACTGTACGTAAAGTGTACAAAATTTAAAAAAAAATATTTATCCTCAACGAATGGTCCGAATTCTAATTAGTGGCATTTTGTCCAGGATAGTTTTATCAAATCCGGGACACTAGTTACTTTTAATTAAATGTGACTACTTCAAGACCTGTATAATTGGGTTTGACGTGCCATGTTTATTTCAAGAGATGGTAGTGATTATATATATATATATATATGACAAACTAAACCCTTCTCTACATATTGTAACTAATACAGAGTGATTGTATTGGTATATTCTGAATGCGGCAATAGTTTACTCCCCGGTTGTGGAAATTATATAATTCCTTTTTTAATCGAATGAACATATATTTTCAACTTGAATTTGATAAAACTGTATATGTGCATATTCCCAGAAACATGGGTTCTTCTGCGGAAAACAATGTACACTATCCCTTTACCGGAGGTCTGTATTCAAAATAACTCTTTAATAAAAAGGACGTTATATTCACACCCCGCCATTTTATACAGATGATGCGCCATCTATTAATCTTATGTGAAAACCTCTGAAACGAATTCCACATACTTTAGTATGACCATATCTATGAAAAGAATTATAATTGTAATCCTTCCTACCTTACTCGTTCATATAAGGATTAAATGTCCCACGTTTGGAGTAGCCTTTAGGGTAAAATGGGCCTTAATGTAGCAAAATTTTCCTTCCAACTCCATTTTGTCTCTACTCTGTAAACACCTGATACGTGAGTTTTATACAGGGTGGTCCAAAATTATGTTTCCATTTACTCTAAAGTATCATTTTTCACTGAAATTAAAGGTTGCAAGTTTATAGACCTTTCTTATAGACATGTAACTTGTGTGTTTAAAGTTTTTTCCTCGTAAACTATAATTTTTAAGTTTGTTATGACACAGTTCAGCATGTCATGGGGAAATTCTGATCTCCATTTGAATATTGTTTTTGAGAGCATAATTATTTTACGGATTGTTGGCATAGATACTGTATTTTAGGTATTCCCTAGAAAACAACCCAAAGCGGATAGGTCTGGAGAATGCCCAAAGTTATACCACACAAAACTTAAATGTTTTTAAGACAAGTCTACGATCGTAAGCAAAAAAAGTAAAGTTTTTCTTTCAATTGAAAATGTCACTTATTAAAAAAAAGGTAACCTCTTTTTGGACCACCACGTATGACGCCTGTGCTTATTGACATAGTATTGAGTCAATAACGACAAATCATATGATGATGGTGGTGATCTAAAAAAAGGAATGCAAAGCGTTCCGTAATGCTGCGCTATTATACTTATAGGCCTTTCATTTCAATAAAACTGCGTCACAAAGTCACCTGTGCGATGCCATTGTCGGGCTTTACGCATGAGAATCATAAATGGTGACAATAAAGATTTGTTCAAAATTTTAAAAGGTTCATTCCTTCCAGATATATTCAATCCCAATTCTTGCCAACAGTGAAGTGGTTGCACCAATTTTATCAGACAGGTCAAATTGCGTTTCAAATGTTATCTCGACTTGTAAGTAAAAAAATCGATCGGGATATAATACAGGACACCAGCCTGTGACTGCGTTCCGCTCTTAACGCCACACGTTGTCAAACACTGGCGTAGGAGTAATAAGTAATAAAGGTGTTGCGTTTCTACTTTAATCGCTCTCGCCGCCAAAACATTTATTTCTCTGGCGGAAGACGCAATTTCAGATGAAAACGACAATGTATAAGAAAAAGAAAGAAAATCTCTTTACAGTAATTAAA